CTCACCCGAACTGGAGTCAATACTTCCTATCACATTATTTCTTCGATGGGCTCTATACATTTCATAACTGCCTTCCGCCAATACCAGCACTTCACAGAGAGTGTAATAATGGCTTCTGAGTCTAATTATAGCTGTATGCATAGTATCTACAAAAGATTAACATTTATGTCCTTTGTTCTTAATTATTACATACTTTAAGACTCAAGAGAACTGATTTTAAGTCATTAGAGAAAAAAAAGAAAGTTCCTAATTCTTTTTTTTTTTTTTAAAGTAGGCTCCACACTCAGTGTGGAGCCCAACATGGGGATTGAACTCACAGCCCTGACATCAAGACCTGAGCTGGGATCAGAAGTCAGATGCTTAACCAACTGAGCCACCCAGATGCTCCCATATCTGATTCTTAAAAGTCTAAGAACAGATTTTTGACATCTATTGCTATATAAATAAAACCAAATGCTTAATTCAAAAGAAGTATGTCCTGGAGCTGGTAGGTAAAGAAGTACACCTGAAAGGGAACAGAGGCAGGGGCGCCCGGGTGGCTCAGTCATTAAGCGTCTGCCTTCAGCTCAGGTCATGATCTCAGGGTCCTGGGATCGAGCCCCGTGTCAGGCTCCCTGATCAGAGGGGAGTTTGCTTCTCCTTCTGCCTCTGCCTCTGCCCCTCTCCTCACCAGCTCATGCGCTGGTTCTCTCAACTAAAGAAATAAAATCTTTAAAACATAAAAAATAAAGTGAACTGAGGCAATGTGGTGGGCAGAAGAGCAGCAGGTGGTTAGTATAAGGCTCTGCTCGTGGCTGACTTGGACTCTCTAGCCTCAATTTTAAGTTGTAACAGAGGGATGATAAAACCTTGCATATCTCAGAGGCACCTGGGTGGCTCAGTAATTAAGCGTTTGCCTTCGGCTCAGGTCATGATCCCAGGGTCCTGGGATCAAGCCCCGCATTGGGCTCCCTGCTCATCGGGGAGTCTGATTCTCCCTCTCCAGCTCCCTGTGCTTGTGTTCCCTCTGTCACTGTCTCTCTCTGTCATAAATAAAATCTTCAAAACAAAAACAAAAACCCTTGCATATCTTAGATTCTCTTGGTTATAAGAAGATAAGAATGGTTTATTTCTTTATAAAGTGTTAGATAAAAACACTAAGCTGAACAAACAGGTTTAGCACTTGGCTCTGTCCCTTCTAGACTGTGATCGCAGGTACATAATGTATCCTATCCAAGCTCCAGTCTCTCCATCCATAAGAGAAGTGAACAAAGATAGGGCCTTATGTGCCCATCCAGCATCACTGCTGGATTCTTGTCCAAGGAGATTCAAAGCAATCGCTATTTTCTTGCTAATGGCTTCCTCACAGATTTTGAGGGATTAAACGAGAAAATCCATATAAAGATGTTTAGCACAGTGACTGGTCCAATAAATGTTTATAAAGCCAACAAAGGCTTACAAATAATGAATTTTAATATATAATCATTGGTTACCATGTGCCTAAAGGAAGGGAGGTGTGTAAATATTTACCGGACACCTACTATGTGTCAGAGGCATTGTGCCAGGCACATGCCACACTTCTGTCATTTAAGTCCCACAACAGTCCCGTGCTGAAATCACTGGTTTGGAAAGTAGCCATGGCTTTGCCTGCCCACATGGAAGGACACGAGAGCAGGGCCCAGTAGAGAAAAAGAGGTTATGCCAGCACTGTACACAACATTAATGGGAGACATTTTGAATGCTGCAGGACTCTGGTTCTGAGAGTGAGCCTCTGAGCCGGCCTCCACACTCCCACTTCCTGGTATTTAGCCCTTCTGCCTCCCTGAACCATCTCTAAGCCCTAGCCCGGTCCCAGAACCACAGCTGGCCTGGGTGACCGAGAACACAGCAAAATGAAGGAATGGAGACTGGGAAGTTTAGGTGACAAGCAACAGGGTGACTTCCATTCTGGGTGCTCATTCACTTTCTTTCTCTTTTTAATCACCCACCCTGGGGGAGCCCTTTCATGAACGGCATCCTGGAAAGGCTGGTGTGGCAGAAGCTTACCTCAGGGGTAAGCTGGGAGCCCTAACCCTGCTGATCCCAGGAAGCCTGCACCCTCGTACAGCCCCACGCTGGAGCCACTCAGCCAGGGTGCTTGGCTCCCAGCTCCCAGAAGCCACGTGAGACCTGGTTTGTTGTTTCGGTCACTAAGGTTTAGTGTGATTTTTCCCACAGCAGTGAATAACACAGCTGTGTTACTGATAGTCAGTGGCTAGGGCTCGGGACTATCCCCCATGGAGGATTTTCCTGCCCAGATACTGACTGAGAGAAGGCAGGCTGACCACCAAAGGCTCTGAGAAGACTCACCTGATGTGGTGCAGGCGTTCCCAACATCTTTGGTTGTGCTATTTTATTCAGAGACTAGTCCCTAAAATGTTTCATGTGCTCTGATTAGAATTTAACATAACAACAAAAAAAGATTCAAGTAAGAAAACCACAGTGCAGTTCTGTAATTAGAGGTAGTAACTGTTACAAAGCCATAGCATGAGGGAAATTCTGAAGGGCCAAGAGAAGTGTAGCCATTACACTCGGCCCCTGGGTGTCTGGGACTCTGGGCGAGAACTGGGGAGGGGCGGAGGATGGCGCTGATCTTCACTGGGGGTTTCAAAGAGTGGGGGAATCCGCAGGTTCAACCTCTGAAGAGAAAGTGCCTTAGAGCTGAGAAAAGAGCCCCTTGAGAATCCAGACATGTCTGTGAGTGCCCAGAGTCCTGCTCATCTTTAGGCTCAGCCATTGGTGCTGCTTTAGGAATGACAGCAGGGTGTCTGGCTGCCAGTGGATACAACCCGATCACCATGGGAATCCACTGCATTATTACCCTGTTACACTGAGCCCACTAAAAACATTCACACATGACAAAAGGGCAGCTTATGAGGATAAGATACACACAAAGCCATTCCTCAACTCTCCGGCTCAGCTGGCAGAGGAATTCTCCCTCTCCCCGTCTTCCACGTATGCCTCCTTACTGCTCTCAGAGGAGCACTGAACACACCGTGCCATCATTTGTCTACATGTCTTCCCACTCAACTAAAGGGTGGACTTCCCGTTTCCACTTCTCTAACTTCTGACACTGATGCTGGCATACACTCAATCAACAGCCACCAAAACGAGCCCATAATGTGCCAGCTCTGTTTACAAAGACACTCGACCCATTCTGCGCTCAAAGGGCCTATACCCCGGGATGGGAGATGGACACATAAGCCAGCAACTACAACACACAGTGTAGGTGCTCTGTCAGGCTGCCACGGCCGCAGATGGGGTGGGCAGGTCATCCAGAGGGGCAGGGCTGAGGGATGCAGGGCTGGGGAAAGAGGCCTTGCAGGCAGAGGAGCAGAATCACACAGGTGGCACAGAGAGCAAGGCCAGAGGGCAGCCTACATGGGGCGTGATGTGGCTAGTACCCAGAGGGCAGCTCCCAGAAAAGGAGAGGGCCAGTGGTGGGAGACATGCTTACAGGACAGGGAACTGGGGTGGGCTGGGGAAGGGTGTGGGTAGAGAGTTACTGAAGGCCTCACTGTCCTTCAGGGTCAGGATGCCAGCCAAAGTGGCAGAGCTGGTCTCAGGACAAAATGAAAATGGGCTGTTTGTGACAGTTACTGGGCTACTGAGAAATCTGCCAGAGGATGTGACTGGATGTGACCAATAAATAGTTAAAGAAATACAAAAAGGTTCTTAAAATTAGAAGATCTCTGGGATAATTTAATTTTTAAGGTTCTACCACTTAGATACCAGTATCTCACATATAGATAAAACTCAAAATAATAAGAGAGAATAAGTCCTAACTAAATCCTCAAATTTAGTCCACTGCTTAGAAAGTTACCAATTCCTGGGGTACCTGCGTGGCTTAGCTGGTTAAGTGTCTGCCTTTGGCTTGGGTAATGATCTCGGGGTCCTAGGATCTAGCTCCACATCCAGCTCCCTGCTCAGCAGGGAATCTGTTTCTCCCTATCCTTTTGTCCCCACCCCTGCTTGTGTGCTCTCTTAAACAAATAAAATCTTAAAAAAGAAAAAAAAAACAGAAAAAGAAAGTAAATTATCAAGCTCTCTTCTAGTCAACTCATTAAAAAATAATTCTCCAAAAATTACCTTGAATGACCAAATGTTCCCCTGCTTCTAGTTTCTTACTTTTTTTTGCTTCCTTCCTCAGTTTTGGCCTTTTTCATGATTCTCTTGATCCTGTTTGGGCCACATCCTTCTCTCACAAGTGTCTGCCCCCACCCATGCTGCTTAGGAGCTCAGCAAGGGCCTAGCCCCCACCGCCCTCCACTGTGCAGGGAAGGGGAGGAAGACTGAGAGTCCAAGGTGGACTAGAGGAGGGTTTGGTTAAGAGGGGTCATAGAAACAAGGCTCCTAACTCAAGGGGAGATTAACTCCTACTTTCTGATATTTGTGGTTTTTTGGTTTTGTTTTGTTTTTTAAAGATTTATTTATTTGACAGACAGAGATCACAAGTAGGCAGAGAGGCAGGCAGAGAGAGAGGGGGATGCAGGCTCCCTGCTGAGCAGAAAGCCCGATGTGGGGCTTGATCCCAGGACCCTAAGATCATGACCTGAGGCTGAAGACAGAGGCTTTAACCCACTGAGTCACCCAGGCACCCTTACTTTCTGATATTTGTATTGAAGAAGACAGGAAATCAAGAAAATCCTTGATCAGACAATGGATCTATATGAATTGTACTCTACTTGTAACAAGTAAGACAGAAAAGAAGCCTTAGATCTAACTTCTGTAGAGAGAAGAATTTTATACCATCATGCGTGCATCTGGAAAGCTGAGTGGTGTAAACCTGGAATTTAAATCATTAGTTTTAGAATGAGAACAGAGTTCCTTCTGTTCATCAATGACTGAGAACCCCTTTGAAAGGGCAAAGCAAACAAGGAGAAAGGACCAACAGAGTAGACTACCACTCATCTAACTTGTGGTTTACGGAAGGTGTCAGCACTTCCTGGTCAGAAAGCCACCAGAACTGTTCCTTTACTTACAGCCTCCTTCTCTCTGTCCATGATAGTTTCCAGCTCCTCAAAATGTCGAAGTTTGATCTCCAACTTCTTCATCTGTGTCTCAACCAGCAGGGCCACCAGAGACTTGATCTTTCTCTCCTCCACGGCAGCCAGGTGCTAAGTGTAAAAGATAATTCCAATTACTTAGGTAAACATTTGTTTAAAATAGAGCAACAAAATGCTGAAGTTGCTATTCAGAGTACGGATTATAGAATGAAGAACGGTGTCCTAGATCCCTCCTTTGTATGTCTCTACCAAACATTTACTTCAATTTAAAATAGCTTGCTGAATTTCTGGTCCTTTCAGGTATAAATAACTCCTTTAAAAGGTTAAAAAAACCCAACACCCTCCCACGGTAGACTACTCCTCTCAAAAAGAGCCCACTAGGAAGGGACAGTTTAACCAGGACCCTGATGGCCAAAGAGAAGGACACAAGTAACCTGGGGTACACCTCCCCATCTGCCACCCACTTACCTTGCACCGTCACCCCTCTATTCCATGCCTCCACTCACTATCCTTCCCTCCTTAGCAACTGTCCAGGGACAGCTAAGCAGTGGCTTCCCCCCACACCCAACACTCAGATGTAAAGCCTCTGCTTTCTCTCCAGTGAGTGGCGCTCGATGTGGAAAGGAGAGGGTGAACAATATTCCCCACCAAGTCTGAGGACAGGATCTGGACCCAGAGAAACAAATACGGTACAGGACTAGTAGTTACTCTGGATGAATGGGCTACTCTGGACGACGAGACCTATTCACACTTCTTGCCTACTCAGCAGGGCACAGAAGAAGGCACCATATTATACAAAGAAGATGAGGGGCCCGTATTTCACCGTGACTATCTGTATCTGGCCTGGGGTCAATCCCACCCTGGACACCATCCAAGAGCAGCACCAACGAACTCCCAACACTGTTCTGCATTCCCTTTCATTATATCTGCTGAATCTATGTGCTCATCTTTCTTCTACCCAAGTGAGAAGTAGCATGGAGCATCTATCTTATTGATCCCTGTTTCACAGAGAATCTAGAAGCAGTTGACATGCAGGAGGCATTTAACATAGGCTTTGGGGAGCTAACTTAATAGACAACACTTAAATGATAGTCTTATTTACCCTTTTACAGTTAGAGAAATGCAGTTTTCTATCATAGAGATCCATCTACAGGAAGAGGCAGAAGTCTAAGCAAAAGGTGAAAACGAAGAGGTTTTATGAACGAATCTACAGCTGTTCATGAAGTGTTTGCCTCCCTAGCAACACTCTGAGCTATAGATCAATAACAAGATTAAGTAAAGATTACATGATCCTAAGCCTGCTATCACTGTCCAGTGTTCCACCATTTGTATTTCTGAGTAAGAAATGTAGCACAACAAAATATCAGAGATTTATAAATAGGCATCACACGAGAAGCAGGTCTCCCTTCACGTGTTATCGCCTTAACACCAGTAGCCCCTCCTTCGGAGAAGACTCAGGTTATCAGTTCCCAGATCTATTTCGAAGAGAACAGAACCTGTAGAACTCTGATGGCTATGGCAGAAAATGGCTCTTATTTTTTTGAGAATTATCCAGGAAGGGGGCACCTGGGTGGCTCAGTGGGTTAAGCCGCTGCCTTCGCCTCGGGTCATGGTCTCGGGGTCTGGGATCGAGCCCCGCATCGGGCTCTGCTCCGCAGGGAGCCTGCTTCCCCCTCTCTCTCTGCCTGCTGCTCTGCCTACTTGTGATCTCTCTCTCTCTGTGTCAAATAAATAAATAAAATATAAAAAAAAAAAGAGAGAGAGAGAGAATTATCCAGGAAGTTGGGGATATCCCCATGTACTATTACATCAACATGCCAAATTATTTCCTCTCAAAACTGAGGATCAAGAGTTTTCAAATAGAAAGGACCACCAAGTAACAAGAAAATAAAAGTTGAAAAAAATACACAGCAAGGAACCACTCTGGAAATTTACGACCATGAAACAGAGTGAAATCCTACAAGTTTCCAGAAAGGCAAACAAATAAAACAGCAGGTTACAAACAAAAATTCAGACTCCATCAGGCTTTTCTCAAAAACAAAACTAGGTTTTTTGAAAATAATGGTAAAATACCCTCCAAATTCCGAGGGAAAAATGCATTTCAATTTAGAATTTCAAGTACAGCAACTTAAATGAATGAAGTGTGGGTACAGGATAGACGTATCTGAAATCAAGGACTCAAAAAGTTTATTTCTGGGGCTCCTGGGTGGCTTAGCTGGTTAAGCGCCTCCCTTTGGCTCAGGTCACGATCTAAGGGTCCTGGGATGGAGCCCTGAGTCAGAGTCCCTGCTCAGCAGAGAATGTGCTTCTCCCTCTGCCCTTGCCCCTCCTCCCTGGTAGTGCTTTTCTCTCTCTCTCTCAAATAAATAAAATCTTAAAAAAAGTTTAATTCCTACACCTGCTTTTGAAGGATATGGTCCAGTTAGTTTAATGTAAAACCAGAAAAAGGCAAAGACACGAGTGAGATCCAGAAGTCACAGACTTAACCTAAGAAAGAAGCCTAAGTCCACAGTGGATCCAAAAGCGAATAGAAACGAATGAAACAAGACTGGCAAGTTGTTGATAACCAAAGCTGGTGGTGGATACACAGAGAGTCATTATATTATTCTATTTCTATATATATTCTAATAGTTCTATAGTAAAGTTTAAGAGGGGGTGGTGGGTGGGTTAATGGCTGGTGCCATGACAACTGGATATTCAAAGGCAAAACAATGAATTTGGACCCTATCTCAGATCATGTACAAAAAATTAACTCAGTAGCTCAAAGTCCTAAAGGTTAAGAGCTAACATTAAAAAATTCTGAGAAAAGGAATACCTCGGTGGCTCAGCTGGTTAAGCATCTGACTCCTGATTTCACCTTAGGTCATGATCTCAGGGTTGTGAGATTGAGCCCTATACTGGGGCTCTACGCTAAGCATGGAACCTGCTTAAGGTTCATTCTCTCCCTCTGCCCCTTCCACAGGACACACACACACACACACACACACACACACACACATCTGAGAAGAAAAAACAGGAGTAAATCTAAATGATCTTGGGGGTGGAGTAAAAGATTTCTTAGATGTGACACCACAAGCCTAAGTGCCAAAGGGAAGATTGAAGGGTTGGACTTCATCAAAATTAAAAACATCTCTGCTTCAAAAGACCCTATCAGGAAGGTGAAAAGACAGTTCACAGACTGTGAGAAAGTATTTGCAAATCCTACGTGTGATGAGAGATTTGTGTCCAGTTTATAACAAAGAACTCTTGTAACTTGTGCCTGCGGGTGAAGGGATACTGGTGGAGACATGGGGGACTTCAAATACAAGCCTGTCACCATCTCAGACACTTGGGGAATTCTGAAGATGCAGCGGTTGGGACACTAAGGAGTCAGGTTCAAGGACAGACAGAAATTCCTGCAAACTCCCCTTCTGAAGTGATAAAGACTCCTTCACAACCCCACCGTAAGTTCTGCAAAGTCACAGCTAAGGCTCAGGGGTGGTCCTGGAGGAAGAGGACCAAACTGCCATCTAGCTTCTCCTCAACCCCCACCCGTTCTCAGGTCTGTGAACACCACAGAGGAAGACTGAATCGTATAGACAGACGACATAACCACCTGGGTGGGGCATCTTTATGTATATATAAAATACTTTTTTCTTTTTATTCAGAGAATCTAAATTTTTATACATATCTGGCATTCAATCAAAACAGCAGATTCACAGATGGCACAGACATTGGACTTAGCAGGCAAGAACATTAAAATATGTTAAGATCACTCACTATGTGTAAGAAAATGTACGAAAATATGGATAAGAAGAGAATTTCGATATATTTAGAATTTATACAAGAACCAATATACACCTGATTGAAATTATGATTAAAATACATGATAACTTCCACACTGAGATACCGCCTTACACCAGTTAGAATGGCCAAAATCAATAGGACAGGAAACAGCAAGTGTTGGCGAGGATGTGGAGAAAGGGAAACCCTCTTACACTGTTAGTAGGAATGCAAGTTGGTGCAGCCACTTTTGAAAACAGTGTGGAGATTCCTCAAAGAATTAAAAATAGAGCTACCCTATGGCCCTGCAATTGCGCTACTGGGTATTTACCTCAAAGGTACAGATGTAGTGAAAAGAAGGGCCACATGTACCCCAACGTTCATAGCAGCAATATCCATAATCGCCAAACTGTGGAAAGAACCAAGATGTCCTTCAACAGATGAATGGATAAAGAAGATATGACCCATATATACTATGGAGTATTACGCCTCCATCAGAAAGGATGAATACCCAACTTTTGTATCAACATAGATGGGACTGGAGGAGATTATGCTGAGTGAAGAAAGTCAAGCAGAGAAAGTCAATTATCATACGGTTTCACTTACTTGTGGAGCATAAGGAATAACATGGAGGACAATATGAGAAGGAAAGAAAAAGTGAACTGGGGTAAACTGGAAGGGGAGACAAAGCATGAGAGACTGTGAACTCTGAGATACAAACAGGGTTTTGGAGGGGAAGGAGGTGGGGGGATGGGTGAGCCTGGTGGAGGGTATTAAGGAGGGCACGTATTGCATGAAGCACTGGGTGTGGTGCATAAACAATGACTCTTGGAACACTGAAAAAAATAACACTAAGATGTTAAAAAAATACATGATAACTGAAATAGTAACTCAAAGATTAGGTTTAAAAGCAGAAGATTTGTCTAATGAACTGAAAGATAGGTCAACAGAAAATATTCAAACTGTATGAGAAAAAGAATGAAAACAAAACAAAACCCTAAAACCAAGCATAAGAGACATGAGAAACAGGCAAAAGGCCTACCATTTCTGTAGATGGGCTCACAGGAGAGGACAGAAAATGTGGCAGAAGCAACACAGAGGACACTTGAAGAACACAAGTTTGAGCTGGGAAAGTCCACTTATGGAGAAAAGGAAGTCTTTTCTCTTCCTTACAACTTTCTTAACATTTTCTTTTCTCTAGCCTACTTTAAAAAGACAGTATGTGATATATATAATGTAAAACACGTGTGTTAACTGCTTGTTATTGTTAAGTCTTCTGGTCAACAGTAGGCTATCAGCTCAGTTTTTTGGGAAGCAAAATCACTGGCTGGTTTTCAACTGTGAGGAGG